CCTGGGCAAGTCATGGAAAAGATTTTGCTTTATACCTCTCACCAAGGCTACCACCTTCCAAGAAGAACATCTCCAACCCAGTGTCATTTGATGACAAAGCAAAGTCCAAGGGATCAAGACAAGTTCACATTCTTCTGAGAAAATTGTGTTTATTGCAAAGCCCCTGGAGAGGCAACATCCCAGAGACCTATTTAGGAGGACTGTAATGGTAGTTCAAACTGCCAGTCCACTGAACTATCCTGCCAAGTACATTGAACAGGCATAGTTTGGGTGCCAAGTAGAACAGAGGGGACTAAAGCTTAATGAAAAAGCCAGGAGACTGAAAGACAAAGTGAATGATATCTTGGGGGGAAAAAAATTGAAAACAAACATCTTATGAAAAAGAATGGAGGAGCATGCCAAAGCCTTATTGGAGAAAAGGCAGCATGGCTATAGTCTACATCCAATGAAAGAGTTATTCTGGCTGATTCTTGACATAATTCCTTCTCTAATTTTCTCAGATGAGGTGCATATATAGCATTCAGCAAAATGAGGTGAGGTTAAAGTGAAGGAGCATATTTAGAAATTGAAATAATTGATGAATCATACAGGACAGACCAGGTAATGCACATTTATATACATAAGGCAAGTTTATGTTGGAAGAACATATTGGGGGTTGTCATGCACTAGCAGTAGAACTTTGGGAGAAGGTGAATGATGGGGTAGAGAAGGGGCTGGTGGACAGGAATATACCTTTCTTCTTATGTTTCAAACACACATGCCACCAACACAATCTTAACTGAATTAGTTAAATCCTATATATTAGTGCTATTATTATTAATTTACTAACTTTCAAAATATAGAGTGCTTACATTGTGGGACAACTGTTATTTAAATGTTTACCACCTGCCAGAATTTGCTTTAAGCACTTTATATCCATTTTTCTAGTTATTCTTTAGACAAAACTGAAAGTTGGAGATTGTTATTCTGATTTTAGAAAGTAAGCTAAGAACAAGAGAGCTTAACTATTTTCATTAGTTTTTGTTATAAATGACAACTTTAGGTAATACTACAATTTTTCCTGCCTGCACAGAAATTTTATTGTTTTAATAGATGACCTCAAAATGTCTGCCTCTTTGAATATTCTAGAGTTACATGTGATAATATAAGCCAAATTTGTCTCACTTATAAATATAAAGTCAGATGCTTCTTAGATTACCATCTTCTGTTTTTATTCTGTGGTAATTGTGATCCAGTTACTAAAATAATTCAGAATCCCCTTAGTGTTTTGAATGCTGCATTGTGGTCATCAGATCATTAAACTAATTTTGTCAAATTGAGAAAACTTCATATTCATTTCATTGATTTATATTCTACTTAATTTCAAAAATAGGAAACAAATTACATTGCTTATTTGATCTAAAAAGTTTTCATTCTCCTTCAATATAAGAACTTCACTTATATAGCCCATAACAGTTGCTACAATTTCCTTAAAGATTCACGCATTAATGTATTATATTTAAATAATTTGTAATGTAGGGTTCTAGAGTAGGTCTTCATTAATTCTGTGGGATTGCATACAAATTTCTATGTGTGTGGAATTTATGGAGTACTTGCAAGGCGGTAGACATCCCTAAAAAGTTTTTTTTTTTTTAACATACTGTAAATACTAAACTACTTAATTTTAAAGCAATAGAGACAGCTAAGTAATTTTAAGAATATATCTGAATCTGTTCTGTATCTTTGCTCATAACTAGATCATGTTGAGTATTAAATTATACCCTTGGTAATTTTTACCAGTTGAACTTCTGTGCTTTGTTCAATAATTGGAATTCTAAAAATAAAGATCCAAAATACTAAAACCTTGTAAAACCTGGCCCCAACATAAAATCTAAACTCCGGTTTTGTAGAGAGGAGGGGGCAAACTTCCAGAATGCAGCCATGATTATCATCTTCTGGTTTTACTCTATTACTGGCTGAATATAGATCGATGTGCTTGTCTCCACTGTACCAATGTATAATGCATGGACCCGATTATTGATGTAATTTAGAAACAGGATGGCTTTAATCTTCTGCTCAGATCAATCAATTACAGCACATAGGTTATAGACTGTCCTGTGATTTTATACTAAACCCTTAATATTGTAGAACTAATCTTAGAGCTAAATGAGGTTGGGGAAAATTCAAAGCCCACAGAGGTTGCTCATGTGAACACAGACAATGGAACTTTAACCATCATGCATTTAATTTCCCAGAATAAACAGAGGCTCCTCTAAAGATTGTAGAGAGAAAATACTTCAGAGAGCAATATGCTGCTTTTCTGTTTGAAGAAACCACTTTTCTACTCTTAAAGTGAAATTCAAGGGTTTTCAGACTAAGAAAATCTGTGAAAGTTAATATCAGGTTCATAATTAGAGGCATTATGCATAGTTACTCTATGCATGCCAAGGCACCTTGCCATGAGGCAGATACACGTGTTTCAAACAGCATTCAGAAATACCTATTTCCCTTTAAAGCGACATCTATTCGCCCAATTTACACGTGGTTTGATAAACGTATTGTTCATATGACTTTGACATGACTTACTGTTGTGTTACAAATGCCTTTTTAGTGCACATAAAAACTTAATTACAACCCACACAGTATGTGGTTTGTTCAGTTTTCTCTGGAGTCCTTGATGCATTTTGGGGAGCAATGATTTGAGCTTGGATTGGCCTAAGAAGCAAAGCAGAAAAAGGTGTTTTAGAAATTGGAGGCAAAGAGCACTCTGTGTTTCTGTGGGCATACAGTGAAGACAAGTACTACATATGAAGATTTTGGGGCCACTTGCCTGAGTTGGCAGCTCTATTGTATGTTGCTGGAGTAGGCAGAGAGCAGTTGCTACAGTTGCTAAAGGCAGAGCCAGAGTCAGCACCATGGATAGCTTCCTTCACACTCTCAGCACCTGGGAGAACAGTGCTGTTTCCAAGCCTGGCTGCTGCAGCTAGCTTAAGAAAGGACAGAAATATCTACTTGTAGGAAAAGGGGGAGTAATAAATAAAGCCGTGCTCGGGAGGGAAGACTGTGTCTTTTTCTATTCCAAGAGAGGAACCTGCACAGATTCAGAGAAGCTCATGTAACCCGACGTATTGCTCCTTTTTAAGTAAAGCTAATTACCTGGGGAATTCAGCAGTTCAAAATCAATGTCTCAGCTCTCTAATTCATTTTCATTACTCTGATATGAAAGAATAAGAATTGTTTAGGTTCTTGTTTTTGTTTGGAATTTTTACCTTTAGCTTGTGTTTTCTGGAACTTAAAATAAAATTGGTCTATAGGATTCACCTTCCTGATGTTTCCCTCCCTCTTGGACCATCTCAGTCCCATCCTTTTTTTTTTTTTTTTAATTTCAGATATGAGGTTGAAACTGGGAAAATATGAATTTGACTATTTCAGGGCACAGAAACCCCAAAAAAACTTTATCTGCATGAGTGGATATGGGGCTCTGCATCCTTTATTCCCAGCTGGATAGCAGGTCTGTCAGCATTCTAGTTCTGGAGGTTGTAGTGGTGGCAATTTTCATCGGAAGAAGGGGCACGGAGAGAGGCTGACAATTGGGTTAAAGGAGAGAATAATACAAATGAAGCCAAAAGAAGCAAGAAAAACTAGAAGAACAGCTTAGAAAACAACCTCTCCTGGCGTGGCTTGTCACATTTGATTTGCTAAGTTTCCAGGAGGACTATTTGGCCAGCAGTGTGTGTTCTTATACGAGAAGATTCCTGAGTAGGTGTGCTCTGAGAAGCAAAAAGGAACATGACTCGATTCTTCCCCTTGAACCTTCCCTGCCCCTCTAAATGAGATGATTCCTTGGAAATGGTGGAAGTGATCAGACTGGGGTCTAGTGTGTTCAGGGGATGAGTGGCGTGGGAGCTCACCCCAAGGCTGGTAACTCTTAGCCCCACCCACCTTTTGTTTCTTCCCCCTGGCTCCCAGGCTCGCCTTTCAAAGTCTCGCTTTGTTTTGTACCAGTTGCTTGCACGGTGGTCTTTGGCCTTCTCATCTTCCTCGCAGCCTCTGGCACCGCGAGACGGGGTCGCCCCCCAACCTTGCATTTCCTTAAGGGTTCAAGCAGTGAAGCTGGGCTTGCCCGGAGGCAGTGGCAGCGCCAGTCCTCAGACTTGGGCAGCGCGGCTCAGCGCCGGGCAGGGACCGCCAGGCAGGGACCGTGGTGCCAATTCAGCCCGGGCGTCAGCGCCCACCTACCTCTTCAGAGCTCGGGGGCCCCAGTGCGCCCTGAGGCTAAGCCTGCACCTCTCAGTGGCTCCTCCTCAACACGCAACCTCCCGAACTCCGCCGGCGTTTAGAAATAATTCTCCCCGCAGGGACTGTGCTCCCACCTGTCCTTTCTTTGCAGCTAAGGGTTTTAGCCACCGCGGCGGCGTGAGGGGCTCAGGGCCGGAACCCGTGGCTGGCGGCCATGGAGATCACCTTCCCAGAGGAGCTGCTTGTCACTGAGTTTTGGAGATTTCTTGGCTGAGCGCGCTGGAGTAATCTGAGCGGTGGCGGCGCCCGAGCTCTCCGGAGAAAGGAGCGCGCGAGCGCCCGCCTGTGCCTATGTGTATAAGTGTGTGCGTGTGCTTGGGTGTGTGTGTGTGTGTGTGTGTGTGTGTGTGTGTGTGTGTGTGTAGAAAGAGAGAGAGGGCGGAGACAGAAACGTCAAGCCCCCCTCAACACCCCCCCCCCCCAGCCTCCTTTCCTTTCTCCCCTTCCAGCAACAGCCTAACAAGTCTTCCATCCCCCTAGCCATCCTCACGTCCTCCCAGCTCCGTTCAGCCCATTTGCAGCGGGAAATTGGCGCTGTTTGGGGGAAGAGAAACGGATCAATTGCCCTTGTGACTCCCCGCCCCCTTCTCCCCTCCCCACCCCCACCACTCCCTCCTCCCTCCTCCCTCCTCCCTCTTCCCGCCCTCCCGCCCTCCCCCGCCGCCTCCCCGCACCCGCCTCCTCCCCTCTCCCCACCCCCAAGCCCTCTCCGGGCAGCTGAGAGGTGAGGGAAGGGACGGACTCCGGCGGGGAGAGCGGTGTGTGAAGTGGCGCTCATGGGAGGAGGTTGCCGCCTTCCAAGGAGGATGCTCGGCCACAAAGAGCGGCCCGCGCGCCGGCCTGGGCTCTAGCGGCGGGGCCCTCCCGGGAGAGCTCGGAGCTGGGGGCGCGCGCCCCGGCGCCCCGGGGTCACCATGCCTGTCCGCAGGGGGCATGTGGCGCCACAGAACACATTTCTGGGCACCATCATCCGGAAATTTGAAGGGCAAAGTAAGTTCATTTGTGCTCCTCTCCCCCTCGCTTTTCTGCTCGGTTCGATAGTGCCTTTGGCGGCCGCCGCTGGCAAGCGGAGGAGACCGACAACTCCGGGCTCCGGCAAGTTCGGAGGCTGCGAAAGCCAGCCGGGTTCGCCTGGCTGCGGGAGTGCTCTCCCTCCGATATTAATTTTGATTTACATGTTAGATTAGGGTCTCCATTAGAGGAGGCAATGTGATCCTCCTCTCCCACTGCTCCATTATCTGCCTTTGCTACTTGCTGTCCTACTCTTCTACTATCTTAAAGGGAACGTGCTGGTGTAAAAACCGGGTCTGTGTTTTGGAGCTGTTTTAATTGCGGACTTTTTGAAAGTCAGGAGCAGGGCAGAGAATACTATGGGAACTGGAGAATGTGAATGGTTAGCAGCGATGGAAATGGCTCTGCACACTATACCTCACCTTGGTTAATTTGCAAGGCTGTGGCTTGACTTGGATGCTTTCTGGCTGCTAGTTTATAGAAGCTAAACTTTACATTGAATCAATGTAAATCTATCCCCAGGCAGGATAATTTTGGGGGAAATATATATATATTTGATTCGTGCTGTAAATAGTTCATTATTCAAAAGAATGTTTCTGTCTTTTAATTTCCCCTTCAGTATCTATCTAGAAATTTAAAAATTGAAGTACACTAAGTAAATCCCACAAAGATGGAATGCAGAGAATTTCAGTATTCTCCTGTGGACTAACTATAATGAATGAATGTTACATAAATATGTTGATTTTAAATCCTATAGTTGATCATTGATAGTCCACAGTTTCTTAAAACCACATTAACACACACTTATGTTGTACAGTTTGCAGCTATTTTGGCAATATCTTTAGTGACATTAGTATATAGTGCCTTGTGTATAACATAAACTTGTAAACCCTGCTTCATACTCTATGTGGAAGTGGTAAATATAATATGTGATCAAAAGTAATAAACCATTTGTATTAAAACACCTACTACTACACAAAATTCATGGTTCTCCCAAAGTAGAAGTGTAAAGGTGTGAACATGATATTTACTGACTGTGTGTGTGTGTGTATGTGTGTGTAAATGTGTTTATCTTCTGGAAAATATGTGTTATGAGAAGTTGAACCTTTGCATTACTGAACTGCTAATTAATGTGAAATACTTTCATTGTTAGTAGTTTTATTTATTTAATTTTTGACATGATGTATGTGTCATATGCCTTACAGGGATAGAGAAAATCCAAATTCAGGAATAATAACAACTTTGAGAAAGTTGTACTCTAAATGTCAAGGTGGAAATGAGGAATCTGACAGCTACAGGATGTTTCACTGTTTTGGCTTTGAAAATATTTACCCTGCATTTAGACGGTATTCTGGAAATATCAATGGGGCAGCTGATTGTCATTAGAATCCCAGGGGTTTGAGGGCTAGAGAACTAGGTTAGTTAGGAAATTACATTCTCAAAATTTGAAGAGTAGTCCTTAATATATTTTTGTTAAAACGGCTTATGGCCAATATTTCATATTTAAGGTGTTTTTTTTTTTCCTCGTTTTTTTTCCCTCTCTCTTCCTTTCAAAAGCCTGGACAGTTAACAGTTTGGGAAGTACCAGCATTTTATATCTCCTCATATGCAACAAATTATTCCCATGCTTATGAGAATCTTGTGGAAGGGTTTTGAAAGATGCCTTACTGTCTTTTGATTGCAGATAAAAAATTTATCATTGCAAATGCCAGAGTGCAGAACTGTGCCATCATCTACTGCAACGATGGGTTCTGCGAGATGACTGGCTTCTCCAGGCCAGATGTCATGCAGAAGCCCTGCACCTGCGACTTCCTCCATGGGCCCGAGACCAAGCGGCATGATGTGGCCCAAATCGCACAAGCGTTGTTGGGGTCAGAGGAGAGGAAAGTGGAGGTCACCTACTATCACAAAAATGGTAAAGTTTGCCTTTTTAGAATTTCTTGCGTTTGATCCCATTGAAATGAAGTTTTGACAGCCGAAAACCAAACGTTCATATTCAGAGAAACCCCAGATATTCAGGTGCAGATGTACTTTGCTAATAGTATTTTAGGCTTCAAAAGTAATGGATACTCTCCTTCCTTTCTGGACTAATGAGAACGATTTCTTCTTTGAATAAGGGTCCCGTGAACTCCTCAAAAGTGTCATAACTTAGTGTCGCTTGGGACAGAATGCCACAAATCAGTCTTACTCTCTTCCCTTTCTAAGGGATGATAAAAGGCCAGATGATTTACTGGTTCAATAGATATGCATTTTGTGGGAGAAAAATATAGTTTTATTTGCTTGAACTCAATTTCTTTACAAAGCAAAGTTTTGTTGAAAACTATATATGTAACTAAAACTATACTATGTTACAAAAGTTTCTTGGCTCTTCAGCTTTATTTGATAGGTAACAGCACCTCTTTTCTCTTTTGTTCCTTTTTGTACAAGATTAAGAATGATATATAGCAACTTCTAAAATTGGTCTAGTGAATCTATATATATTCAAATAATAAAGACTGTTCATATATTCAAGATTTGCCCTAAAAAACAAAATGGAGAAAGGGGACTGTGATACTGTGGAATTATTTGTATACATTTTTACAACTGCAGCAAAACTGGCATCTTCAATTTAAGGTCATACCTCAACTTCAAGGGCACTCCTTCTTTCAGGCTTGCTGTGAGACCATAAATATTTTAGATATGTAAAAGTTCTCCAAAAATCACATGTAATGGATATGCATTCATTAAATGCATAATATGTATGTATACAAACTCACATGTAATGAATATTCAGATATACCTATTTAAAGATACACATTTCCAAATGTACACTCTTAATTATATTTGACAATTTAGGGATAAAGGGGAATAGATTAAATGTATTTTGTAGTTAGTTTTGTTGATATTGCCTTATCATGTATTTATTTTTATTTAATTTCATGAGACAGAAGTCAGCTTTTTAGTTAACTCAAGTTTTAAAAATGAATATATGAATGATGTATTATATAGCCTCTATCATATCATTACTTGTCATTTAGTAAAATAAAGAGGCAAATTCTAGCAGAGAAAAGCTTTAAATCTTCCTCTTATTTTTTATAACTTAATACTGTATGATGGAACATTTACAATTGTTAATTACTAGATTTTTTATAGTAATTTGAGTTGGTATATATAACAAAGTATCATTGGACAAACAGGCTTGTATAATTTTGAATTAACTTGGAATGAAAATATTATATGATTATCAACCAATACAGAGATAGCTTTTAAAGTTCTTTTCACTTTTCTCAGACTTTTCAATCAGTAATGGTGGCATATTAGAAATAGCCTAATTGCTCTGTTGTCTTGAAAACATTTATTGGACTGAGGCTTTAACTACCCAAATGCAACGTGTGTGTGTGTGTGTGTGTGTGTGTGTGTGTGTGTGTTTATGTGTGTTTGTGTGTGTGTACCTGATGCCAACAATTTGACTTTTGGAATAATATGAATGTCTGACTTTTTTTCTGTCTGTATATTTATCATGATGTTGGCTCAGTCTGCATTGTGCTTACCATAGGTCATGTTGGCCCACATTTTGTCATTTTGTTTCCTGGGATATTTCAGACGTTTTCAACTTAGAGAATTTAAGTATAAAATGAATCTAGACTGTCCAGATTACTTGGACACTAACTATATTTTTCAGATAGTAGTTTCAAATAGAAGTTGTTTTTATTAATTGGAATAGTGATGTTTTGAAACCTAGCTTAGCTTGTATAATATGAGTGTAAAATAATCTCAAAAACACCTTAACAGCATTTTAAAAAGCAATTTATCACAAACTTAAATGTTAAAAAATTTTACAGTGGGGATCCTCATATATGACTAATGCAAATCTTATTATTTTAGTGATTTGCTTGGTTACATAAAATTAAAACCTCTCTGTTTTGGACAAAGAATGTTTACTTGAAAATTTGTTTGGTATAGAAGTAATCAACAATTGATGATGATTTTAATAGAAGTGACTGGGTCTACAAAGACTTTTAGAGCTAATGACAAATATTACAATTTTTTGCTTTTTTTATATGGGAAACAAGCATTTTCTTTTCTTCTAATGAAAAATATTAATTTGAATAACCTTTTAGATTGTAAAGACACAGTCAGAATTATTGGCTTTGAATGTAATCAATTTGTGTTTTTGCTACTAGTTCATATACCTTGAAGAGAATCTTCAGAGTTTATTGATTTTATTCACATGGCATCCGCAAAATCAGTCAGAGCTTTAGAAGTTCAAATGCTTTAAAAGTCTTGCCCCTTAGAGATCTGTCAGCCACTCTTATACATTTATAAAAGCAGGAAGGAACAAAATTAGCAACATTTTCATTGGTTTGTTTTTCAAAGTTTCTTTAATTCCTCATTACTGAGATCATTTATTTTTGAGAGGTTCTTGGTCTGAAGTGTATATATAGGAAATGCTTTCTTTACTTATTCATTTAACTTCCATGTTCCATTCCATGGAACATTACTGTAATTTAGCATGTCACAGGAATATGAATAGTGTTGCATTATGCACAATGAGAGTATTAACAAAAATTTAAGATAATCTGTTTCCACTTTTTCATTCACTCATATTGGAATAGCAAAAATATGAACCTGACATTATTCCCAAAGGCTGGTTTCCTAACATGGCCAGAGGCCTTAGACCCCAGGATTTGAGTGAGTTCCCACAGGTGAGCTACGTGGTCACCATTGTGAAGCAGCACCCTCCACCCTACCAGTTCTGGGGATTTTAGTGGGCACAGTTGGACTTGCTGTTTACCAGAATATCAATTTTTAAAAGCCTAGTTATTTTGGGGGAGGAATATTTGACAACCCTTCCTTTGAGGGTTCTATTTTACAGTTTAAGTCATTATTGCATAAATCATTCTTGGCAGCTGTGAAATATTGCTTGAGGTGATAAAGCTATAAATCTTGTGATATAAAACTCTAATTATACAAAACTATAATTATGCTGAAGCTTATATAAGAATAGGTAAATATTTTAGTAGCATAATATATTCACTCTAAAAATACCTTTTCATCTTTTAAAGAATAGCGATTGAGAAATAGTAAACACTTCCATTATTAATTAGCTTATAGTTTAGAGATAATGTTAAGGTAAAACACACACACACATACAAAAAACAAACAAACAAACAAACAAACAAAAAAACAAAACCAAACAGAAGGGCTGATTTAGTCATTGCTAGTTTATTGCTGATCTGGCTGGGAGTGTGTCATGGAGCAGAGCTAGCTAGTTTAAGTGCTAAACCACTTCAGCCACAGTTAGATAGAAGATTTTTACCTTAAATTATCTAGCAACTCTAAACATTTGGAAAATTGAAGTAAATTTCTCCAAAAAAAAAAAAAAAAATGAAGATCTTAATCCAGTAGGAAAACAGAATCTTTAAAGGTCTGGGTATTCCTTCATTTTCCCCATTATGCTTTTACACACAGTACAATGTCAGCTTTGTTAACAAGTCAGAAATATCCGTATCTTTGGGCTGCTTTTAAAGAACTAAAGGATGAGAAGGGGCTGAGGAAAGTCCTTTTCTGATCCAAACTGGGAACAGATCCAGACAGGACAACAGTCAGAGGGGGGTCAGTACCAAGTTCCAGGGGCAGCCTTTGATTCAACTAAAGTAAAAAGAGGTGAATCTGCCCTATGTAAGAGTGATTTGGAAAGACCTCCTGGGAAAGTGTTTTGTTGTGAGTGGAGGTGAGGATACATACCAAGGGCCTCCTTTCTCTAAGGTAATGTTTTTGGCATTAGAGGAATAAGAGGAGATACAAAGGAGCATACTAACTGGTCCTTGGTTTCAGGATATTTTTATTGTAGAGTGACTAATGTGCATTTCTATCTTCTCCACAAGATGTTTTTTTCAATAAAAATGTTTCTAAAGAAAAAAAAAAGCATACAGACTCTTGAATGAAGAGTCTTTTCTATAAACAGAGAACAAAATTTAGGGTTAATTATCATCCTTCTTTTATTACCCCACTCTACTTGTTTATGTATATCTCCTATCACCTTTTGTCATTTATAGGTAATAATAACTTATTAAAGAGACAATGTAGTTTAGTTAAAAATGTAATAGCTCAAAGTAAATCTGATAACAGCTTTATATAAGTTATGTGACATGTAAAATACTCAGCTCTCCTCATTCCTGAATTGTGTAGAGATACAGCTGGTAGTTTTTAGAAAAGAATAGACATATATTTTGTGTGTGTGAGGAATTCAAACAATAAGAAAAGTTTCCAGGTGATATCTTGCCTAGGGTTTGTTTTGGTGTTCGTTTTAACTTTCTGTTTATATATTTTCATGTTTTATTCAATGAAATATTACTGTAACAACATTATTCTTAAAATATTTTTTATATTCCAAAACTTTGTAACATCTTATGGACTTTAGATATTCTATACATTTTAAACTTAATCAATTGGATTTGTTGCTATAAATCAGAATTCTCAAGAATCACTCCTCCTCACAATTTGAAAACTTTATTTCAGTTCTGTCCCAAGGGAAAACAAAATGTCCTAAAACTGTGGGTGGGCTGTGCTCATCAGCTTCTTTTCAGCACTTGCCAGGCCAGCACCATACCTCTAGGCTATTTGGTGCTACAAAGAGGTCCTTGAGAGATAACTACTAAGTTATTTTCTCACCCAAGGGGCTGGAGAATGGGGTCAGTGTAGGGCTATCTGTATTGGCTAAATTTGTAGAGTGGAACTAGCTTCTCTGGCTTCTATTGACTTCCAATGTTATTTATATTTTCTTGCTATAAATAATCACTAAATCATTTACTTGCCATCAGCAGCCAGGAGAGCCTAGGACAGGGGTCTGCAACCTTTAAGACATAAAGAGCCACTTGGACCTGTTTCCGAAGGAAAAAAAAACCCAGGAGCTGCAAAACCATTGCGACATTTAAAACAAATATAACACTGCATATATTGTTTCTTAC